AGGAATCCTGCACTAAAAGTCTGCTATCAAAACGTAGCTTTGTGCAGCTGGAGATTTGTAGGGGGCAGAGGGCTTTTACAGTTGGTAGCTACCACTTTCTTTCACTTGCCTACCTTTAATAATAGCAGTTACACGGTAACTATGCCCCAGATAACAGCCTGTCAAGTCCCATCTACACTTTGTTAAATGAAAAAAGAAAACTAAATTTAATTTGTAAAGGACCCAGACCTGAGCTGTAACCTGTGCTTTAGGTGAGCCTAAAAGAGGAAAATATTAAATCTGGAAGTGTTGTTTTAAATAAACGTGGTAGAGGGACTTGGACCTGTTGCTTACTCTCAGCTTCACCAGTTAGACATTTAGGCTACTCTCTTTCCCTCTCTCATTCTACTCACTCTTTCTCTTTTAAAGGGACAAAAAAGAAAATTCTCTATATTTGTGAAGTAGGAGGAAACCTGTATCTTGACAACTAATAGCACTTTAGGAAACTTTTACTGTAGGTATTACCAAATGCTAAAACTAAGGTTAGATGTTCCTGATGGTCCCCACAGTCAACAAGTAAAACCTGTGCTTTTAATCTTTGAAAATGTGACTCATTTGCTTCAGCAGTCAGTTGCAGCCCCTGTACTTCATACGACTCATCTGGAGCCCAGTCTGAAACATCAGTAGAACATCCTGTCTGGCTGAGCGATGCGTAAACACTGCTTACTGAATGGGATTTAATCTGATGTTGATCTTCACGCAGTTGGTGATACCATATGTTTTTGTGTTTTAATGGTTATCCTGTTTATCTCATCTTTTTGACTTAAGGCCAAATCCTTCTGTTGAATAGGTGCATTATTAATTGTAGTTGAAAATTAAACAACAAAAAGGCTTAATCGTTAAGAGCACGTACTAGTCTATGTGGCCACATAACTTGGTGCTCGCCTCATGTCCTCTCTGTATAGTGTCTATCTTTCTTGGTTTTCATCTATTGTACTGCTTGTTGCAAATCTGTAACAAAGTTAGGCATTTTACTGAAGACCTTTTTTTTTTTTTTCTTTTTTTTTTTTTCTGGATGATGTAAGTATAGCCTTTTCATTGATTACAGCATAAATTCTAATCAGATCAACAGAAGAAGGAAGAATTAAACTCCCTGAACATGTACCAGTCAGACTTGGCATCCTGTCCACTTTACCTCTGTAGAATACTACCTGATTTTGAAATGTTCTATGAATAAAGTGATTTATGGAAAAAGCTGTCTTGGTGTGTCACTATCAGCACACTTCAACTATATAGGTAATTGTTTTTAAAAGTAGCTAGCTACTGAAACTTTCCTTATAGTCAAAAAAAGTGCTGCACGTGAGAGCTACTGAAGTATTGGCCTATTTTCAATAGCTTGTGAGAAAGCAAGGGAATGTTTATAGGGAGCTGGCTAGAATTTCAGCTAGGGTTGCAGAAGATGCCATTTCCTGGTCTGTGGGTTCTGAGAGCCCACAAATGACAGGGCAGATTCCTCCTTTGGCACTGGCATTTTATATATTGATCCTAAAATAGGCATAAACTAAGTACCACCAGAGCGGATGTCTGCTGCAAGCATTATGTCTTTTGCATGCACAATTGCTGTTCGTTTGTTTTATCAGCTGAAGGGTATTAATAAAACATGTAAAATAAGTAAATTACTATAAACAGGAACAAATCTTAGACAAAATGAATGTGTTTCTCATATCACATTTCTCATCCACTCTCAGTCGATTTTTTCACTTTCCTCTCTATTTTGATGTTGGTTTTATGATTTTTCATTTATTTGCTTGTAACAACAATTTAGCTGAAATAGATACAGTTACCTGTATATAAGTCTGTAATCTCTTTATTTTCACTATTTTTATGAAAATTCTTTAATGTCTGTCTTCCTTCTTTTTCACTTTCTTAACTGTTTTTCTTGTGATCATGCAGGACTCAAACAACAGAGCCATGAGGGTGGCTTTCTTTTTACATAACTTCCCAGAGTTAGTTGGTTTCTTTTTTTTTTTTTTTTTTTTTCCAATTCAAATAGTCTTTTTAAAAATTTGTTGATAGCAAGAATTTAAATGTCAATGCTTTTTTATTGTGAGTTACTGGGGTTACAAAAACTTTAGAATTCAAACCTGACCATATTCTGTTTTCAAACTAAATTTTCTATGGAAGGTGGGGATTGAAAATTGTCTGACTATGAAGATTGAACCTTTATTGTTCTTGTTCTTGGAACTACTAGGGAAATAGCTGAGATCTCAAGAGACCTCTATTGAAAGGGAAGAGACTTAGTACTTTACAGGAGCAGAGAGTACCGAAGAGCAAAGAGGTACAAAACTTCCCTAGATACTTACTTAAGGCCTGTAAAGGAAGGCCCATGTGCTCTAGTTTTTTAATAATATAAAGCTTTTTTTTTTTTTTTTTTTTTTTTTAGTTTAGATAAATAGCAATAGGACAGTAAGATACAGAATACTGAAGAAACATGCGGAATAGTTATAGCCATCAAATTTATAAAATTTTTATGTACTGGAGAATCAGATTTTGTGACTCTCCATTCCCAACAGTGTAAGAAGAAAGGGAAAACAGTTATTTCATACTAAACAGGGTATAAGAAACACTTAAAAACTGGAAAATAGAATCTATTTTTAAAAAATGCCCAGAAGTTGATAATATGTTCACAATGTTTTTTGCCCTTGTTTACTGAAAGTTTAATTAACATAATCATTGCTGGCAAACATAATGCAGATTGAATCTGGTTCCAAAAAAGGTTTGCTCTGTCATAAGTGTTCAAAAATGTTATATTGTGGTGGGTGAAGCTTGATTTATTATAAGAAAGCTCAACAGATTTGGACAACAGCCTCTGGACAAAGACTTGCTGGAGAATGTGAAGTGTTAACTTTTGCATGTTAAATTGCTTACGAAATATTCTGAGCACATTTAAGCTTATGGTAGGCTTGGGGTTTTTCATAAGCATTAAAACTTGTTCCTTGGAGGGCACAGATGTGTTTTTCAGTGGTCGGCCAAGAGTTCTCTCTTTGCTCTGACAGTTATTACGCATTTCACACAGTTATATTGTGTTTTGTTATGGGCTTTTATTTTTTTTTTTTTCTGTATTCTACTGGTGTTGTATGTGTATGTGCAATGTTTTCATGTTTAACTTAGACGGGCATGGGTAACAAGACAAAGGGAGCATGCTGCTAGATTAGCGTGTCTGTAAAATGCACTTCATTGTTATAATAAATGTATTTGTATTTTTTTTTTTACCAAAAATGACTTAAAGAGATTGGAGGACAATAAACATGCAAAATTAAGAATCTGAAGGTCAATGAATTCTAAAAGCCAGGCATTCTTAAAGACGACATCCATTCAGTGTGCATTACTACATGGGCATTCATTATGTCATTACATGGTTTTCTTTCTTTAGCTACTACTTTTTATGTGGAGAGTGGCTGAGTAATTTGTGCTGAAAGAGGCATGTTTTTAAGAATCTGTGCTTTCTTCTGGACTAAGTTTTGTTTCCCCTCGTGGCCACTGGAAGGTAGGAGGGAGAAGGTGATTCAGGGTCCGAAGAGGAGGAAGAGGCTTTAGCAGGCGGGCAGGGGAGTTCTGGTACAGCAAGAGCAGCCCGGGTTCTGAGGGAAGAAACGGGGATGGCGTACAAATGCGAGAGAGAGCTTCGAGCCCTCCAGGTCTCATGAGGACGGACAAAGTATCCAGGTTTAATCTGCTGATTTTCTTTCAAGCAGCTCCTCTTCCTCATCAGGCCCAAAGTGCTTAAAGCGTGAGTAGCTGCCAAACATATGAACAGATGGGCGGCTGAGAGTTTGGCAGCAGGATCGCGGCTCAGAAGAGCTTGTCGTTTAACACCCCTGACCTCGGCTTTCCCTATTCTCTCAGCTGGCTGTGCGGAGGAAAGGCCGAGAGTCGGTGACTCTGTGCAAGTGGGAGACGTTTCATGAGGTGTGCGAGTGCAGCATTTTCTCCTCCTTTGTAAGGAAAAAAAAAAAAAAAATAAGGCGACGACCGGGGATAAACGGTTTCGCCACCGCCATGCCCGGGAAAGCGCCGAGGGTGGCCCAAGGGGAAGTGGAGAGCTGCTCCCCGAGGGTGGCGGATGCCCCGGGGGCCCTGGGACGGGGCGACTCCGCACCGCGGCTGCCAGCCCGGAGCCCGGAGCCCGAGACAAGAAGGGCGGGCGACGGAGGGCGCCCCGCGGGCCAGCGAGCGGCGCGCAGGGGCCAGCGGCGGCCGTGAGGGGCGAGCGACGGCCGTGAGGGGCGAGCGGCGGCCGCGAGGGGCCAGCGGCGCGCAGGGGCGAGCGGCGGCCGTGAGGGGCGAGCGGCGGCCGTGAGGGGCGAGCGGCGGCCGTGAGGGGCGAGCGGCGCGCAGGGGCGAGCGGCGGCCGTGAGGGGCCAGCGGCGGCCGCCAAGGCGGGCGGGCGGGCGGGGGAGGCGCGGAGCGGCGCCGCTCGCTCAGCGTGCCGCGGGGTTTTCACTTCACGCGGTGGTCGCTGGCTAAGCCGCCGGGGAGGGAGTTTCGGACTCTCCCCTCAGCTCACGGCTGCCCGGAGCGGGCGGCCGCAGCGGGGCGCCGCTGGGTGTAAGTGCCCCGGCCCGCGGGGAGCGGGGCTTCTCCGCGGCTCTCCCCGCCGGGCTGGGCGGGGGCGGCGTGCGGTGCCTGCGCGCGGAGGCTTGGGGCGCTCGCCCCCCCCCCGGCCGGTAGCGGTTGACTTCCAGCCCCGCTTCCCCGCCCCGAGCGGCGGCGCGCGGCCGCGGCACGAGCGCTTAACAGCGCCGCCGGCGCGCCGCGGCCCCGCCCCCCCCCTCCAGCCGCTGGAAGGGCAGCGCGGGGGGGGGGGGGGGGGGGGGGAAGAGGAGCGCGGCTTCGCCTCCCTCCCCTCGTCTCCCCCCCCGCCTCCCTCCCCGCAGCCAATCGGCGCGGAGGAAAAGCCGTCGTGCCGCTGACGCCCCCGCGGGACCCCCCCTTTTAAAATAAAGCGGCGGCGGGTCACCCCCTCGGCGCGCGGCGCGGCGGGAAGGAAGGGGGCGCGTGCGTGTGGGGGGCGAGCGGTCGGCGAGAGCGGCCTCGCGCGCGCGCACGGCAGAGAGAGAGAGACAGACAGACAGACAGACAGACAGAACGCCGCAGGATGCCCGCAGCTCCCGCGGCGAGGGGCTGAGGCGGGCGGGCGGGGGCCGAGAGGTCGCCGAGAGGGAGGAGGAGGAGGAGGAGGAAGGAGGGAGGAAGGCGGGAGCGGCGCGCGGGGGAGACAGGGTCTCGCGGCCGAGGATGGCGCCGGTGCGCGAGCAGCTGGCGCCGCAGGGGGACGCCCCCCCCCTCCTCCTCCCCGCCGCCGCCGCCGCCCCCCCCCCGCCCGCAGCGGTGGCCGAGCCGCGGCGGGAAAACGGCGGCGAGCGGCGCCCCGGCAGCGGCAGCCCGGCCGCGGCGAGCGGCGAGAGCGGGGCCCGGCCCCGGGCGGCCACGCAGGCTCCCGGGAGCGCGGCCCCCGAGCCCCCCGAGGGCGGCTGGGGCTGGGTGGTGATGCTGGCCGCCATGTGGTGCAACGGCGCCGTCTTCGGCATCCAGAACTCGTGCGGGGTCCTCTTCGTCTCCATGCTCCAGCTCTTCGGCGGCGGCGACGACAAGCAGCTGGCGTTCAAAACAGGTGAGGAGCAGCGGGGGAAGGGGTCGCGGTGGCTTGCGGGCCCTCCCCGCCCTCAGCCCCGGCGGAGGAGGTGCCCCCGCCCGGTAGCTCCCGCGGTGCCGCCGCTCCGCCCGTCCGTGTCCGCGCCCCGCGGGGCTGCCGGGCCGGCCTGCGGCGTGGCCGCTGCCCGTCCCGCCCCTCTGCCCGCCCGCGGCCGCGGAGACCCCTCGGGGCGGGCGGGGGGGGGGGGGTCGAGTCCCTCAGCTCAGCGCAGCCCAGCCCTGCCGCACACGCGTGGGGCCGCGCTGAGCAACTCGGAAATACTCGTCGGGGCGGAGGGAAGCTCCGCTCCGCTCCCCACGAGGGTGTGCGCTCACAGCTGTGCCCCGGGGGGGCGAGCGCCTGGTGCGCGGGGGGAGAAGCTGCAGGGAGAGGAGCAGGTGTACTGGCGCCTTCCGCGGCGGTGTTTTCAGGCATCTGTCAGCGTGCGCTGCGGGAAAAAACGCATCCTCTTGGTCCCAGGAAGTTTCACTCCCTGGCCTCTCTTCGCCTGATGGATTAGTCGAAAGGATTAATTGTCTGTGGGGTATAGAGGCGCTTGAAATGTGTCAAGAACGGGCGTAACGGTTGCCAAAACCAGTGCTTCGGTGTGCAGATTTACTGCTGTAACCCGTATCTCAAAACTCACCAGTAAAGTTCACTAAACTCCTAAAAAACTCGGCGGTAAAGTTTACTAAACTCCTAACAGTGCTATTGCAACCAAATCGCCACCCTGCTGTTAGAGAATCTAAATCATTCTAGACACATAGGTATCGGTTAATCCAAAGGTGAGCGTATATTCTCTTTTGCTTTGTGTAAGTTCTCTTTGAAAAGTGTCTTGTGCTTTGACTTTGTAAGTTGAAGAAAGGCAGTATTTTGCTCTCACAGTAATAATTAATATTTATAATAATGTCTTGCAGTAAATTATAATAAAGTTGACTTATTTAAAAGGTAGATTACATATCGAAATGAAATATTAAATCCCCTAAATATTGTCTTTTATGTTTATGTTCCTTACTAAAAAAAAGGTGTTCCAGCTACGTAGCCCTGCAGAAGTGTAAGCCTTCTAGGAAACTTCTTCAGTACAGAGTGGTGTTATAGACCTTTAAAAGAAGTTTGCAAATTACATCTTCCTTAATATTGGGATAAATAGGCCTAAAGTTGAGATGTTGGAGACAAAGGAGCTAATTTTCCTCCCCTGACTTAATAACAATATTTATGTCTGAAGCAGAAAACTAATGCAAGGGTTTAGACTGAAGTAAGAAGGCTGTGGTGGAGCACTGATGCGCTCTCCCATGTTTGGGCTATTTGTGGTGATGTGTAAGGTGTATTGCTCAGTGTTTTTGAGCTAGAAACATGTGTATGTGTCTGCACGTCAGGCGTGGCAGTGCCTGCTTTGCAGAAGGGAAGTGTGCATCCAGAAGCAGCTGCCGAGGCTCCTTAGCCTGTACAGGAGACGAATGAGGTTGTTCAGAGGAGGTGCTGTGGATATTTACATACTGACCTGGGAGCTTGTGGCCAGTCAGAAATGCAGAAACACACAGGGGGTTGATCCTCTGTCTGTTCATGGTACAGAGGTGTAATTCCTTTTTCTGAGGATGTGTTTCTCTAGTAATGATCTCTCAGAAGAGACTTCTTGTGCTGAAGAAAATGTGACTTTTACGAAATGGTGCAGTAGTCAAAATAATCAACAAGAGGAGGATTGAAATTATTATCTTTTGTCTTTCAGAAGATTAATTGCACCACTGGTGTTTAAGTGAAGTGAGTTTGCGGGTGTGCTCCACCCATGCTTTTGAAAATTTGCCCAACTACACAAGTGGGGAAAAAAAATGGAATGTGGCTTTATAGTCTAGTTATTTTGCGTTCTGCGTAGAAGAGCAGGAAGAATTAGGAGTCCTGGATGCAGACAGCACCTTGTACATCACTTTTTAAAAAATTTATTATTATTAAAAAAAAAAAAGCTACAGCTATGTTTTGTTTTGCTGTCAGATGTGCTCTGGCTTGGGTAATGCAGATGACATGTTTTGCTTTTTTAAATTCAGATGGGTGTCGGTTGGGGGAAATAGCATGAGACAGCTGCCTTGGCTAGGTGACATGTGTGCATGGGAAGGAGGAGGACTGCAAATAGAGAAGTGCCTCCTGTAAATAGCAGAATAGCAGATAAAAGGTGTCCTTCCTTTTACTGTCTGAAAGTACCATAAATTATGAGTCTGGACACCATAAGGTCTAAAGAGCAGCTGTTAAACAGGACTTTTTATTCCTTAATGTTGAACTTTATTGTTTAGAAACTGTTTGTCTGTTATTTTTTATCTTGTTGAAGGTAGGACCAAGAGTGAACTGAAGAAATTCTGCTACAATATTTAGTTTGCCATAAAGGGGAGCTAAGATCAGCAATGGCAGATTGCACTTAGTGTGTCTCTTACTGAAACACTGATGGATTAGCTGGCATGCTGTAGAAAGAAAAAGGATGACTAATGGGATAGTCAGTAGGATTTTAGTGTTAGAGAAACCCTAGCCTGATTGTTCCCATAGTATTGATTATTGTCCTTATTTTAGTTACTCTTGAATTTGGACTGATTGTACCTCAAAATTGGCAGTGGAAACTGAGTTTATGTATCAGATTTAATGAATTTGAAAACTGGAATTGGTAATGAAAGTTTTCTTGTTTTGGAATACAAAGTCTAATATTCTAATCCTTAAGAAAAAAAAAAAATCTTTAAAATCTGAAATGCTGATTTTCAGAGGCGTGAATACTCTAGTTAATCTCTCCTGGGACCCCAGGTGTCTGTGGAATCTTGCAGTTGATCCAGAATACCACAGAATTCAACTTTTTTAAACTACTTTTGGGACCAGCTAGTTGTTGTCTCTTGCCTACTGTCTTCCTTAAAAAAACTAGGTAGGCTATAGTACATGCTACTTTTGTTATTTCTTAATAGATGGATGCCTACCTCGATGTAAAGCAAAACGGAAAGTCATTAAGTAATCATAGTATGTGCTATTTTTGTTATTTTTAGTAGATGTATGGATATTTGTCAGTATGAAAGGCAAAATGGGAGGAGGCAGAAGGCAGGAGGGATGTAGTCAAGAAGTGACTGCCTCGCAGATAAGGAGTAGAAGGAACCAAAAGTACAGGCAAGGCAGCAAAGCTGTCTTCAGAATGCAGCATCAGCACTGGATAAGTAAGATGAGTAACTGTAGACATTGTTGCAGGATTTAGGAGTGTTAATGGAAAGGAGTTATATGGAAGAACTTGTGCTGTGGGTTATAGAGGATTCACAAATTTCTACAAGGGGTATCTAAGTAGAATTAATATTTTTTATGAAAAATTTTGAACTTAACTAGGATAAAATATTTTGGTATTCATATTGGTAAAAAGCTTGTTTCTTTGCTGATATATTGTACTAGATAAGCATTTCCATTGTTTCCTTGTGTAGCCACTTTTTTTGTTCAAAAGCTAACTGGTGCACAGCCATAGAAGAGGAAAAGCCCTCATTCTGAGTACAGGACTTCTAGAAAGATGTGCCTGACGTCTCAGGAAGCTACTCTGTTCATTTTTTACAGCTCATTGTGTTTGAGGAACAAATTGGGTGGAAAAACACAGTGGAGATGAATTTCAGGGGACTCTTAGCCCTTGGAAATAGGGCAGACCTAGTGGGCTTCTAGCATTCAAACGCAGTTGTAGTCTGATGGTCCTCGAAGGAGGAGGACTGGGCCCCGGGACCAGTCCAGGCTCTGGCAGGAGGAGCACTTGGTTCCTCTCCCTGTTGTCGCAGAGGGATGTGGAGCACTGAGGCAGCCCCTGTCTTACTGCGGTAAGAGATCTGCCGTATGAGCCCCATCTAGGCCTGTGTTGTGCTCTCTCCATAGATGCCTCTACCATGTAGGTTTTTGTGTGTGTACGTACACATACCTGTTTTCCAAAGGCAAATAATTCTAAGATACTAGTGGCCATAGAAATAAATACGCTGGGTTTTATATATAAAAAAAAAGTAGATAAAAATACTAGTTCTACTAGTTTAATTATTCTTCATTCTGTCATTTATAATGCTGGTTCTGTAACTCCACTGAATTACTCTTATGTTTGTTCATCTTCACTTGTACAAATAGCCTTGCACAGGGAATATATGCTGTTATTACTGTTCTGCATCCTCATGTTTGTTTTGCGTTAGCAAGTGTTATTAGAAGACAGTATATCAGCTGGCCTGAACTGGTTAATGGTGTGCTTGTATGTATCTGCCTTGGTTTGACTTTGTAAGGTGCCACCTTTGGTGATATGTCTGGCTATCAGGATGATTGGTAGCTCCTTGAGCTGGCTTAACAGTGTCAGCACCACTGGGACTCTTGGAGCTGGATTGCTGTGGGTCTGGTAGGGCAGGGAGGAAATTCTGCCTTGGTTGTCATATCCAGGCCATAACTCAGATACTGTGAAAATAATGTTGGATAACTGCAAAGATCTACAGGTGTTGAGAACAAGTGAACCATGACCATATATGGTAAGTTAATTTTGCTGAGCCGGGCTGGCTTTTCCATTTAACAGGACAGTTGGAAGTCAAAGTTTTTCCTTTGCTCTTTCCTTGATATCTTTTGCTAATTTCCTGAGCTTTGCTTCAGAGATAAGAATGCCACCAGAAGCTCTGTTATCATTCAAGACCTTGTTCTGTAACTGTCCTTCAGAACCATGCTTTTATCTCTGATTTTATGGGATGTGGTTTCCAGTAAATTGGGAAGATTGGCACGTCACTTATGAGAGAGCACTTGACTTATTTCCCCCTTTTTTAATGAAGAAATAAATCAAATTTGGAACATAGAAGTTATCAGAGCATATAACTGTAGTTTGTGTGAGGTACAAGAAAGCACAATACTGTGTAACAGTTTGGTCAGTAAGGGTTATGTTGCAATGAAGGAGGTAGTTTCAAGAAAATTTGGACGGATGGATGTTGGTGCTGCTGTAGTTTGCCATCCTTCCCACATTTGTGTGGCCA